CCGAGCGCGGAATTGCGGATTCATTCTGGATGTTTGCGATCTGCGTTTGAAGTAGCTTTACCAGGCTGCTCCCATCCGTGGCCTCAACTTGCGCAGCATCCATATTCGGGGTCGGCGCCGCAGACTCTACGGCCTGGAGGGGGCGGGAACTTCCTGGGGCGTCCTCGCGAGTTCCGTTTTGCTTCTTGGGGGGCGGTGGTTGCAGCGATTCGGATGCGTGTCGTTTGCTCTCTTGGTTTCCTGGTGTACCCACGCTTGTCAAAGATTTGGCGTCCTCTTCCAGTTGCTCCTCTTTTTTCTTGTTCTCGTGTTTCATCAGCTGCACTCTGCTTGCAACCCCTTCGACTCTTTCGAACACCTGTCTGTATTTTTGCATTAGCTGCTCGTGCTCCTCTCGTTTCTGCTGTCGCTCCTTCTTTCGCTCCTCCTTCTCCTGTTTTCTCTTCAGCTTCGCCGCTGCTTCATCCTCTTCAGCTTTTCTCATCTCCTCCTCGGCTCTCTCGTTCTCAAGTCTCATCTTTTCTTTTTCTTCTTCGCGTTCAGCTTCCATCTTTTTCCAAGCTAGGTCTATCTCTAGATCATGAAGCTGACGCTCCTTCTCCTCCTCTTCTTTGCGTTCTTTCTCATGCGCTTCGTGTTTCTTTTGGAGCTCGAAGATCGCTTCCGCCTCTTTTTGCACCCCTTCTTCATCGCACGCCGACGAATTCGACGAGTTCAGTCCTGCGCTGGGCGGCGGGGACGGGGAGCCCACAGCTCCGACTGTCCTGATTGGCGGCGTGCTTGGAGCGGGCTGTGGAGCAGATTCTCCTCCTCCGTCTGCTGCTTCCTGGCGCTTGCTCCTGCACCTGCTCCTGCCCTCGGAATCTGCCTCGGCTCCTTCTGCTGCTGATGATGCGCCTGTTCCTGCTTCCAGTCTTTTTGCAATCCCCTTTAGCCTTCTATATTCGAGCTTCTCTCCTGCGCTCAGCTGGCGGCACGACATCAACAAAACGGAGCATGGTGACTCCGGCACCGTCTGCGCTGCCTGCGGGCGAAGGGCGGCTGGGAAGGGTGGAAGGTGGGATTGGCGAGGGGGGTAAGTACATTATCAATCTCGTGCGTTCATCGGCGGGTCGCCTTCAGTGCTGCTTCGTGCTTTTTCTTAATGAGATCCCAGCGTTCTTTCAAGGACAGCATCTGCCCCTGTCGCGGTGATACCACCCATGCGCAGTTCTCCTCCAAGCGGAACGCGTCATCCTCTCTCCCTCTCTCTCCATATATCTCTCTCTATCTCTCTTTCTCTAACTACTTGCTCCCATACCATCGTCCGTGCCACGTACTAGCACCCATGCGCTGAATGCGTCGCAATCCCTCTAATCTATCCAATTCTTTCGCCCGCTTCCCGTCACGTGCGCCCCCCCCTTACCCTACACCCAGTCTCCTCCTCAAGGTCGATCGGCTCTTCAGCATCCGTGCCGTAGTAGCCAGGCGGCGGGGCAGAGTCCTGGCCGAGATCGCACCTCCCGCATGCTAATCTGCCGTCGTGGACATACCCTCTCCCTCCTCATCCTCCCCCTCCCCCTCCCTCCCACGCCTCATCGTCACTATCTTCCCCTATTCTGCTGCTGCTGCCCCACTTCGAGAGTATGCTTCACGTCCTCAGCGTGCGAGCTGCTCGCAGCTGCCATCGCGATGGCAAGGGCCCGCTGGGGCCCCGCTCAACCCCAGGTGCTGCGCCGAAGGGGGGGGGGGGGGGGTCCGCGCGCCCCTGCAAGGGGCACTTGAACCGAAACGTATCGAACGATCTCGGAGAGAAAGCCGTGCGTGATGACGACGCTAAAGACGATTTAGGTTTCACATTGTTTTTGTCCGAAGCGCGCGCACAGCGCGGCAATATCTGCAAGCCGCAGGCGCGCCCCGACGGAGCGAAGCCGCATCACGCAGTCGCGCGTCTGATCCTCATCCTTACCTCGTCCTCCTTACCTCGTCCTCAAACCTCTGCTGTCTCAGACTCCACCTCGATTCAACTTCCTCATGAGCTCCCGCTCAACAAGAGCAATGCGATGGCTTGCAACCTTTGTGATGACCACTTGCCGCTAAAAGCTTCACACATCAACCCCCTTCGCACTATCTCTCCTTCCTCATCCCAGCTTCTAGCAATCAAAACAAGCCGCTGCCCATGCTGCAGGAAGAACCGCTAGAATCGTTCTTTTCAAGCTTCCTCTTTTTGGCGCCATCCTGCTCTTTCTCTGCGGGTCTCGTCTTCTTTGCCTCCTCTGCCTTCTCTGGACTGTCGCCGCTGCCGCCTGCTTTCGCCTCCTCGTCCTCTGAGCCCTTCTTTCTCTTTTTCGGAGCCTTTGCCTGATCGCCTGCTTTTGCTTTTGCTTTTCCTTTTGCCTTGCCCTTGGGTTTGCCACGTGTCTTCTCCTCTGGCGGCTTTCCCTCGCCCTCCTCCCCGTCCTCCTCCTCCTCGCCCTTATTCTCCTCAGCCTCGCCCTCACTTGATCCTGCCGGCCTCTTCCTCGCGATGTTTGGCTCGTCGTCTTCGTCCTCACTGCTGCCGCCGTCGCGTACTGGAGCGTCATCGCTCGAATCATCCACTGCAGCCTTGTCCTCGTCATCGGGTTTGACCACCGTTGTTGCTGGCTCCCTTTTCGGTCCGTCGCCATCTTCATCATCGCTACCGTCTGGGTCGCCGCCCTCGGCGGTTGAAGCAGCTGGCCTTTTGGCAGCGGGCCTCCTCATCACGGCTGCGCCCTTCTTCATCTCTCTGGCGTATTCGGCCTTTGCTTTCTCAAACCCCTCCTCGGTGAGTCTTCCCTTGGACACTGACTCGGCCCACTGCCTCATCTTGGACTCGGGATTCACGAAATAATCCTGAAGCGTCAACTGACCGAACATGGAAGCGTTTTTCCAGATCGCCAGGAAGTGTTTCTGCCCCTGATCCCTCGTGCACCGCGTCAAGGTCCAAGTTTCGCCCCCCGTGGAATAAGAGCACAGTGGCTCCTTTTTCTTTTTCTCTCCTTTTGCTTCCCGCCACTCTGTTGCCGAGACGCCCGCTACTGTCCACACAGTGCCGCCCTCCCACTCCGCCTGCACCTTATCCCCATCCTCATCCTCGTAATGCTTCGTCGCGTACTGAGGCGGCTTCTTCGGTCTCACCCTGCACGCAGCCTCCCTTGCCCGAGTGAGGAGGAGGGGCAGGAGGAGGAGGAGGAGAGGGAGGAGGGGAAGGAGGCCCCACCCCCAACCGTCCTGCTTGGCCTTGTCCCACTCGCATGAATACTCGCTGGCGCACTCGAGACTGCGAAGCTCCTGCCCTCCCGCCCGAAGGATGGGGGCGAGGGCGGCTGGCAAACAGGGAGGTGAGTGGGGAGGTGGACGCAAGCAGAGGATCGTCTGTAACCTCTCACTGCCTCATACTCCCATCCTCCTCATCCTTCTCATGCTCATCGTTCTCTCATTCTGATCGTCTCATCCTTCCGATCCCTCCCCATCCTCCTCATCCCTGGCGGCCTCGAGGAAGTGCTCCTTGAACCAGTCGGGCGGCTTGCCTTTGCCCCTGCGCGACGGGGGGGGGGGTGAGGGGAAGTGCTCCTTGAACCAGTCAGGCGGCGTCTCCTTACCCCTGACTCCTCCTCGTCGCCCTCGCCCGCTTCCCCCCCCCCGCGCCGCCTGACTTTCAACTCCATCTGGCTGATGTGGCGGAGCATCGCTCGGACCCGCCAGCCCCGCGTGGGAGCATCCTGGCGATCGGCCCCTCTTTACTCGATCCCCCCTACCCACCGCATCCTCCCTCCCTCTTCCATCCTGCATGCCATCCGCCAGCTATCCAATCCGCCTCCTCTTTGCCCTGTCACCCCCGCCATCGAGCAGCGGGCCTGGCGACAGCCTCTTATTATTTGCTCGCTGGCGTCTTCTGCCCAGCTTTCCCTCGTGTCGTCCAGCCTCCAGCGCTCCTCTCTGTCCTCAGCCACTGCAAGTAAGATAGACTGCAAGTTCTTTCTGGCCACCGTGCTAGCTGGACTAATAACCACACGGATGCCCTTCAGCAAGGGAGCCTGCTTCACCAGCTTCTCTGCATCAACGCTCCCCTGCGGCAGGGGGCGGCGGGGAGGGATCGGGGAAGGAGCGGGAGGAGGAACAGGAGGAGGAGGAGGAGGAGGAGGAGCACGAGGACGAGCAGGAGCAATGGGAGACACGGGAGGGGGGCAGGAGGAGGAGGAGGAGGAGGAGGAGGAGGAGAAGGAGGAGGAGGAGGAGAAGAAGAAGAAGAAGGGGGAGGAGGGGGAGAAGGAGGAGGAGATTGTCGAGGGGGAGGGTGCACGATAACGACGACGACGACGACGACGACGACGACGACGACGACGACGACGACGACGACGACGACGACGACGACGACGACGACGACGGCGCGGGCCTCGAGATCGAGGCAGTAGTCTACGTCTTCGGCTCGTCTTATGTGCTTCAGCAGCACTGATTTGAGCTCCGCGGCTTCATCTTCTTTTTCTGCCCCTAGCTTTCTCGACATGCTGGCCCTCTCCTCTGGCCTCTGGGCTCCTGGCCTCTCCTCTGGCCTCTGGCTCCTGGCCTCTGGCTCCTGGCCTCTGGCTCCTGGCCTCTCCTCCTGGCACTCCTCTGGCCTCTCCTCCTGGCCCTCCTCTGGCCTCTCCTAGGCCTCCTCTGGCCTCTCCTGGGCCTCCTCGAGGCCGCCCTGGCCTCCTCGAGGCCGCCCTGGCCTCCTCGAGGCCGTCCTGGCCTTTCGGCCTCGAGCCGAAATGGCTGCATGAGAGAAAAACGACAGAAGAAAGGATTCGATTAGGGAATGAGCTACTACATCTACGTTTTGTGTGCGATCTCAGTGGCATGTGCATGTTCTACGTTCTACGTTCTACGTTCTAATTTCTACGTTCTACGTTCTAACTTCTACGTTCTATTTTCTCTTCGCGTGGAGTGTTTTTTCCACGTTCTACGATTTAGAACCTACAACCCTCTGGGCCGTGCCCACCGCCCCGGCGAGCCTCGGGGACAGGGCCTCCACGGTGTACCGCCGCGGGTCCAGCTCGGCCAGCGTGCCCGCGCGCGGACGCGCCGCGCGCGGCGGCGAGCTGCCAGAGGCCACCGCCGCCCTGGGCCACGGCGGCGGCTCCAGGGAGCGGGGGCCTTGGGTCGATGGGCTGGCGCCGCGCACGAGTGGGGGTGGAGCCCTTCCTC